GCTGCCCCCCCCCAGCCGTGGGGGGCACTGAGGGTCTCTGTGGCTGGAGCAGGACCATGGGTTACTGTCCGTGTGCCTGGTGGTGGCTGCTGGAGGGAGTGACTGAATGTATTCTTCCCCCCCCAAACCAGGCACACATGTGTATTCACCAGCAAACTTCAAGGCGGCCCAGCCGGCAAGGAGAGGGTGACCTTGGGTCTGGGCCAGGGTATCAGGTGGGCAAGAATTGTGCTGGGATGCTCTCAACATCCCTCAACAGCCAGAAGGGGCTCGTATCCTCCTTCACCCTGGTACTCTCCTGCTGCTGCTTTGCTCAGCTTCTCCTCCTCCTCCACCTCCTTATTTCTCCCCCGCCCCACTGGGAGCAGCTCAGGACTCTTCCCCCACTCCCTGGTACATCCATGCCATGGGATCACGGGAGTCCCAGTCTGCTCCACAGGCAGCTGAGCTGGAAGGCCTTTCTGGTACAGGAACAGGTCACACGGTGCTGGATACTCTGTTGTCTTTCCCCCAGGGATTGTCCCCAACGCAGCACCTGTCCCTGACAGGGCTGGAGCCTGCAGATGCTGTGGGCAGTGATGGCCCCATGTCACCATCTTGCAGGGCCCTTGTTTGCAGCAGTCATTTTTTTTGGCCAGTTGGCCTTGAAAATCAAACCAAAACAACAACAGCAAAGAGAAAAATGAAATTGAGCAAACCCTGTTTTCCACTGGATGTGTGAGCTGAGATGACCTGTGGTCGCTCAGCCTCGGGGAGGACTGGGTGGAGAGCTGGCATCCTGCCCGCTGATGTGCTCCTTGGCGTCAGGCTGCGGTCACGGGCTGAGTCCCATCACGCAGCTCCTCCAGCCGTGACCTCATCCAGCAAAAAAGGGGGTTGGGGTATCACCAAAACAGCTGATTTTTCACACTGTTCCCTCTTGCCCACTCCTTCATGCTCCCCAGAGGCAGTCATGAGGTTGTCCCCGGTCTGACACAGACAGTGGGAGCTGTAGGGTTAAGGGGGATTTGTGCTTTCCTGTGCCAAGAGCATGTAGCTGGATTTTTGAACCTGCCCAGAGGAGAAGAAACCTAAAGTAGCCGGTGCCAGCGGGCGGCTTCTCCTCCTATAAACACATCAGTAGGGAGGGCAGCCAATGCTGTCAAAAAGCACTCGGAAATCTTGGTGCTTGGGATAGAAAAAGTCTAGAAGGGACTCGCTGGGGCAGCGGGTGCAAACGGCCAGGCTAGGAGAGCAGGGCTCTGCAGCAGGGTGGTGTGGTGGGGAAGCCCTTTCTGCAGCCTGCGGCACCCGGCTCCCTGCCAGCCCCTAGCCATAATATCCCCTGGGATTTTCCCTGAAGGCAGCCGACTCCTCTCACAGCCTCACACTCCCGGGTGGGAGCAAGAGGTGCTTCACTATCCTCCGCATCCCTTCCTGCTCCGTAAATCCACTTCCCGATGCTCTGATTTGTTTTTCCTTTTTTTTTTTAGCAG